CACCACTCCAGATGATCACGTACCCGTCGTGTGTAATCGCGCCTTGTCCCGCTCGTCGGGTCTCTTGGAGTCCTATCACATCACAGTCGGTCGCGGCACAGATCTGCATGACCGTCATCACGTTGTGGCCGATGGGGTTCCTGCCGCTGTAGGCGAGCGTGCGTACGTTGAACGTGCCGAACGATAAATCGCCCTCCCGTGCCTTCTTCTTCGCGGTCGCCTTCACGCCCGCTGCGATCTCCTGTCGCTCTCGGTCCGCCTCGCGCTGGGGGGGTGTTTTCTTCCGTTTAATCCGAGCGGCGAGTTTCTTCGCATCGATCCATCTTTGCAGGGCTCGGTGCTTGCCTGTGGTGTTTGGACGAGGAGGGTGCAGCACTCCCCCCCCGCGTCGCCCGCGGTTATCTCCCTTCTCCCGCGAACGGTGCTTACTCGCGTGGTTTTTACGAATCTCTCTGCTCCTCCAGCTTCGTGGGCCACGTTTTCCGCGACGGTGGTTACCAGGTGCAGTGTGCCGCTTTGCATTGCTGCCGCGGGGACAAGGTCCACATACACCTCTCGCCACTACCACCGTCTGTGCATCCTCACCGCCACACTGAGCCAGCGCGGCGGTGAGTTGCACCTTGGGACACCACCCACCTACTATCTGTTGTGGCCTGGTTCGCCCGCGAGGGACTCACAAGGTCGATTTCGGCCCCGGCCGGGGAGCAGGCCGGGGAGGGGAAGAGGTGGGGTGTACCCAGCTGTCACGAGTAGTGGCACGAATGTCTCGCTTAAACATATTTTCGGCCGCGACACTTACGCCCGAGGCTTCATGTCCCTTGTACCACATTTATCACAAGTCGTCGTAACAACCGTGAGTTTAGATATCCGCTCACAAATTTCGAAGTCATCAACCGAATCAAGGCAATGGCCTTATGTACACTTTGAAAAAGATCACCGACCGACAACGATCTAAGTAAAATCTCATTGATACCCCCCGTGGATACGCCGGGAAAAACATTACTACACAATGCCTCTGCACCAAACCCCTGTACAAAACCCGCTTGCAGCGACCAACTGAAGAGGCAACGCAACTCCTGAAGAACTGACACACGAGTCAGCGGGAACACGGACGGATAACAAGCGGTTCAGATCTACCCGCATGCACAAGCGCACCAAGTCGTTGACGACAGAGGACGCTAATAATGCTCACGGTGGCTCGACATCTCTACGGAACTCATCAAGCACGCCCACTGACGCCATGCTTAAGGGATAACCAACTACGTTCAGCTGTTTGCGACAACTAAGCTACGCACAGCGACTGACAATGAACAAACATATACATGCCGCTGGGAGAAGAAGACACCAGCGATATGGGGGAACGCAACTCAACTGGCCGACAAGGCAAAAACTTGTTCCGGGAATCACCCTCTTCCCCCACCTTACTCCGCCACTTCAACCTCCGGCCAGCTCAACTTGTGATTCCTGAAGCATGTCGTTCATGCCATGGTTGACAGGAAATACTGCCCACACTTGTGTTCGTCTGCATATGCCTACTACGCGGACGTCACTTGCGAGTGGGCGGCAACACCGGTAGCCTCCCCCTCGACCTCCGCGTCTCCCCCCCACCACGACCCGTCAAGATACCGCCGGAGGAGCATGAGCGCTCTCGCGGGCTGGTAGGCGGGAACCTCGTGGCCCGCGTAGTGCACCGTGACGAAAGAAAGCTTGGCGCCTTGGAAGCGCGTGTGGTAGCCGGCCACCTGCGGTAGGGGGACGTCCGGAGGTTACAGGCAATTTGGACGTTCGGAGGGATTTTGAGGTGGGTTGTTTTTGTTGTTGTTGTTGTTGTTGTTGTTGTTGTTGTTATCTTTACATTCAAAATCGATCCGGTCTCCACTCAGTACCTCCTAATATCCGTACTGGTCCAACTGACGCGAACGCCTTCCGTGATCACAAGCCAACTGCCCCCCATACGGGGCGGGAACACCTTTATAAAGTGGTATGATGCCAAATACTGTATGTCGTTTCGTGTGGGAGAAGGGTATTGTACTACTTGTTGTCTTCAATCTTGCACTCCAATGCATACCATGCCAAACGCGTACGTCACCTACGCTCTGAATGAAGACGACGTAGCAGGCTGGTGGATCGAAAAAAGACGTATTGCTTTCCAACCTGACTCGACAGCGACGGACAGATAGATCCGCTTGTGGGTAGCATTGCAGGCCGATGGAAGAATAAACAAATAAACGCTACCTACAATTGCGGCAACAACAACGGCAACGATGACTACAAGGCGGCAACCACAAACGTGAATGATAGCCAAAAGTACGACAACCACAACGAGTACGCCCCATTGTCGATACCACCATCGGCAACAGAAACAACAACAGACGCCTTTAAGCAGGGCAACAGCGCTCACCTGTCCCCCCTCCTCCCACGTCTTCCACGTGCAGTCTTTGTCGACGGCATAGCCGAGGTCGTAGATCCACCACTGGGTGCCCTCCGTCGCGCACACCGCATCGTCATCCTGGGAAACATATAGGCACGGAAAGGTGAGTCAGGCGATGACCCACAAAATATCCGTGCCATCAACTAATCGCATCGCTAGCACTGATTCCGAAAACAAAAACCGCCATTTGATTAAACTTCCCATCGTACACTCCGACACCTGAGACACTCAGGACTCCCTGCACTTGATCCAGGGCAAAATCCCTCCTCTCGCTAAGCCAATCCAGTCAAACATACTAACCAAACTCCGTCCACAGCGTGACGTTACATACGCACACAACACACGGACGCATACGAGCCGCCTCCAAAAGTCGAAAACCTCACCCCTGAAAAGACGAGGACGGAGACATCGTAATCGTTCAGCAGCCTCTTGTAGTAAGGCATCATGGGCCGCAGCATGTCGGACGTCTTGTACTGCACTTGCGTCGAGCACTGCTCCCACACCGTCCCCTCCCTCACGCGTAACGCCTGCTGCACATCGGGGCGGTTGAGGTACCTGGAGCGGACGTGGAGTAGAAGCCGTAGATTTGGTGGATGTCAGGTGTGTCGACATTGCTAGCTCACGGCAGAGGCGTGTTGCACAAACGACTATCGAGAAAAAGATGGCTATTTGCAGAGGTCTCAACAGAAGCAGAAGAAGCCGGAAAATAGAACAACAAGGAGATGAAGTCGATGAACAGCAACATCAACAATCGCCAGCACCACTACATAAACAAGAACAGAAGATCAGCAACGACGACATCTTCAAGCCGCACAACCAGCTCACCGCCCGTGTACATTCGATCCGACCTTCTTCGGACCTCCTGAACGAATTTACCGCTTCCGCACTCATGACTGGGAGTGAAACAGCCGCAATTACACGAGAAAAAAAAAAAATGGTAAGAAAAGAGATCAAACTCACGGGATGGTGTAGTCCTCGGCGCACGGCTCGTACGGTGCGGCCCTTTCAACTGCGGGGCGAGTGTAACCCTCGCGACCCTCAGCCTCCTCAGTCTTCCGCTGCTGCATCCAGGCGATAAGGTGGTGGTCTCTCATGGCCAGGCGCTGTGCGTGCGCCACGGTAGTGCCGCTCTCCCCGGTGCACATGGGGTAGTCCAGAGCATAGGGGTTCACGTTGCCTGGAAGAGCAATAGCAAGCGGAGCAGCGCGCTGAGTTAGCCTTCGCGTGCCCACGAGGCCCGTTTTGAGGTGGGGCTGCGCAAACGATGGAAGGGTTTGCGATGTTAGGGTCACAGAGGCATAAAAAACACGGTCCACGGTGACGACTAACTACAGAATAGCAACGTGCACAATAGGGAACAGGATGCCTAATATACCACCGATTTTCGAAGCTCGAATGCATGCACGCTTGACACTGCAGCATAAAACATGTTACTTGACATGCATGCGTTCGAGTGCGCAATTTGTGTTGAAGAACAATTATGGAAAAGGTTGGAAACAAACAGAACAACATTATCAAGAGTCGGTCATGGATGGGGCACAATATCCAATCCCGATATCGCTCCTCTAGGTTACCGTACGGTGCACAAGATATCACACCCCCTGGACAGATTTTCAAAAGTACGGATTCTCCACGAAGAAGATGTCGATATCAAACGATACGTATTTGGAAAGCTCTCGACGAGACGGGTCCAACGCTGCAATTTTCGGCACCGTCACCGCTTTCCTGTCCGGAAATAGAGCTTTGAAAATCGGTCCAGGGCATGTGATATCTTGTGCAACCTACGGTAACTTCTTCCTCGGTAACCCCACCCACCAATGAATCCGTCCATGGTCTCTTCCAACCCCTCGCAAGCATCGCTCCTGCTGGCTCCGGACACGTAGCCTCCGTCTTCATCCACGCACAACTTTCGCCAGTCGTCGTACACGAACTTGGGCAGCAGCTGGTCGCCCCAGTACTTGGCGTATTGCGCAACCTATTTCGAGGCAACAATGCAGCCGAGGGGCGTGAAATTGTACGGTATACTTCAGGACGAAATGCACGACAGGCACTGCGGTCGAAGGTCAAGACGATTTAGACACGGGTATTACGCGGCCGCCTTGTCCTCGTAGTGCCGGAATGGCCGTACAAACAGTTGTACGAAGTGAAGGACCCGACCAATACAGAGGCCTCATGTATAACGCGCTTGTGCATACGTGCAGAGGTTTCTCACAAGCAAGCCGGAGTCCTCGTGACGGCATGACGTCCGTACCATACTACACGAATATGGCTGCAACACGGAGTCACTCTTGTCTAGTACCTGCTTGGATCTGGCGTCCGTGTACCAGTTTCCCACACGGAAGCCGGAGTCCGCGTGATAATGGGTTTGTGCTACACAGAGAAACGCGAAGCCGCCTTGTGTAGTACCTGGTTGGAGCGCGCATCCGTGTAGGGGTTTCCCACCAGGAAGCCCGAGAAGTTGATGACCGGGGCTGACCCATCCACCTCGACCTTCTCGTTCCGCTTGAGGATCTCCTCGGCAAGCTGGGGCATGTAGTGACCGCCGTACGACTCGGAAGAGATGTGGAAGTCGTTGCTGCAAGCGAGGCGCATCAGCCGTATCAAAAGTCATGCCCTGTGTGAGGTTCTTTTACACCTCTCTTCCGTGGCACGCACAGCGCTGGTTTGGACACACACGCAAAGAGATCCCAGTCTCATAGCGGCACATAACACGAGATGTGGGAGTCGTTGCTGCAAGAGAGGCGCAAGACAAAGGGGATGCGCACAATCAAAAGTGATATATTGTGTGTGGTTCTTCTAGACCTTTCTGCGGTACGGACGGAAAAAGCGCAATTTGGGTGATCAATGCTAAGGCGCCACAGCCTCGGAGCGGAAAAAAAACACTCGAGACGTGGAAGTCCTTGCCGCAAGAGACGCCAACGACAAAGGGTATGAGCCATATCAAAATGTGATGTATTGTGTGTGTGTTTCTTTCAGACCTCTGTGGTACGAACAGCGCTGATTGCGTTACGAATGAAAACGCACCACAGCCTCAGAGCAGGACCAAGATACACGAGACGTGGAAGTCCTTGCTGCAAGAGAGCGGGCAAGCGACATCACAAATGACGGCTTTGACTGACATACCAATGAAGAAGCGCAAAACGGTTGTTAAAGGCCATAACCTGTGTGCGTGCACCATCTCGTGTAAGCAAAGCACAGCAGTACTTTCGCCTGAACCGCAATCACAAATTGGTGTATGGTATAGCCGCGGTGATATTCTTTACGAGGCTCGGTGTCATGGCATTCCGAGAAATCGAGGGTCGAAAAGTGGAGAACTAGTAGTAGAGATGTGCCGAACATGACACTCGAAGACTTCGCTATAAACAACTATCGCGGGCGTGTTTGTCAATAATTATTCTACAGAATTGTGTGTCAATATTCTAATGTCGTTTATCGCTGATTCTTGTATTGCGGGATACTTATTGACGCAGTTCGTGAGCAAGCGTACTCTATGTATTCACAGCTAAAAAGAACGCAAAAAACATGTTTACCTGTGCAATGAGGGAAGCGGTCTAGCTAGCCAACCCTGCAAGAGCCAGTTTCCCAAACACCGAGATATTGTGCGGCGGGGCCTCTGGCCTTCTGGGTATGGATGAGCTACAGATTGCAGTGCCCCGACCCTGGTGGGAATCTGTCCCTCGTTTTGGTGGTTCTGGCTATTGGTATTGGTTAAGTCTGGTGGAAACCACACAAAGAGTGTGATCAAAGGCGAGACCTTGACGTCTCGGCTCATGCTCCTACCGTCCGGGTGATATAATGGAGTCCACCTCAACCCCGACGCACAGCCATATGCAATTTAATCTTTTTTGGTCTATTTTTCGTTTAGTCTAGCGGGCACATTTCGTGCGCAAGCGTATGCATACATGGCCCACAAAACAAAAAACAAGAAGCCTGTACCTTCGGTACTGAGGGAAGCGGTCTAGCCAACCCTGCACGAGCCAGTAGTTGTCCACGGCGGTCTTGTCGTCCCCGGTCTAACCGGCGTGAGGAGCGGCGCAACAAAAAACGGTTTGCTGCCGTGAGGAACCCACATAACGCTCCATTGCCATATTTCAGTGAAATCGGTACATATTCGGTTTCATGTTGACATTGGTTCATTATATTTCCTACCAAAACCCTTCTAGAAATACCTACTAGCTGGATCTGATTTGGAAGCACTACGCAATCGGCGGACGATTGTCAAAAAGAGGTACCAGTACACATGAACCACGTTTAGAACTGCACTACCTCCCTCATGTGCGTGACCTCGACAGATACGTCTGACACGTACCCCGAAAAATGTGTACTGTAGTCTTGGGCCAGAATACGGGCCTCGCACACACATGGAATATATAGCCTAGCTTCCCCCATGACGACCTCCCCCAACGAGGTCCCAGATCATGGCCTTTACGAGCGTACTCCGCTTCAGCCGCGCACTATGAGACTGGCGTGTTTTCATTGGTCAGCTGCTTCGCGCGGTTGATGCTAGTAAAAAGACGCACACCGGCAGAGAGTGCCAGGTCATCCTTAACAGTTCCGCATTAAGCCGAACAGCGCTTGATGCGAGAACCGAAATCCAACTGCAGAGAGCGCCAGGTCCTCACCTGGTAGTCGGTCACGGTGTCGCTGTAGCTGAAGCCCACACCGCTGGGGATCTCCACGTAGAGCATGTTGGCGACCTTGTTCCAAGAGTAGTCGTTGTCCACCAGGGTCTTGCCCCCGTCACGCACCTGTACGTACGTACGAAAACATCGGTTTCGGTCCGTTTTCCGCACAACACGAAGGATTTCAAGCTGCCTGGGAAAACTGCCCTACCCCGCCTGTCAAGCATCGAAAACGACATCAGTTTTGTTGGGCAAACTCGAAGGATGGGAAGCTGCTTGGGCAAACTGCCGTCCTGCCCCTGTCTCGCACATGGTTGCAAGACGACACCAGGATTATTTCGTTCGTTCGGACCATACCAAGCTGAACGCCGGCCGAGTATCAACGGTGTTTGAAAAGGAAAAAAAAAAGTTGAAGCATCAAAAATCAAAATCAACACATTCGAAAATTCTAGTCAGCCCAGCTGGCTAGGAAAAACAACAAAGCTCTCACAACACACGGGAGACTCCGCAAGCTGCGTGACTTGGCGAATAAAATGACAATGCTTGCTCCGAAAAAAAAAACATCATAGGTCAAAGTTTGTGCAGTGGTGGGGTTTTAATCCCTTGGAAGGCGTGTAATCGGAGGACGCGGAAAAATTCGCACCGAAAAAAAATATATACTGTCGCTAGCAGCACGCATCAGTGAAAACGTGGGGTTGCCATCTGTTGGAAGACTTACAACACATAAAGAACACATATAGATACTACTCTGAATACTCGGAATTTCGCGGGCTCACCTGGAACGGCCCGTGTTCAGTCAAGAGGCCAAGCATGCCGCTGCACCCCGGCCCTCCGTTCGTCCAAAGGATCTGAGAGAGAGAGAGAGAGAGAGAGAGAGAGAGAGAGAGAGAGAGAGAGA